GTTTAAGAAGAATATCTATTAATCATTATAAAGTGACGTGTGACTCTCTGTGTGAGAGTGATCGACTTGTAGTCGGAGAGGGGTTCCGAATAATCCTGACTCATATTTCATGTTTATCTCGGTTTTATACGAGATTATAAACATTATTTGAGAGTTGAACATTATAAGTAAAGGAATATAAGGTGAATGATAATAGTTTGAGAATCCATATTTCATTTATATTTACATTTATCTATTAATAATTATATATGGTATACTATGCACGAGTATTTAAGTATGTTATTATTTTTAAATCGCGAGTACAATAATTATAATACAGATGAATACACATAATCCTGATGAATATTCGACTTTGAGGAAGATTTCAGAGAAAGGTTACAAATTAAAAAAGGCTGATATGTACGTATATCTCAGATCTTATAGGGGCACAATTAAAGATAATGACTACGTTACAGTATATTTGTTAATGAATTTATGCTGCATGATCATCTTTATATTCGAGAATTTTTAGATTTCCTATATCATTTAAATTTATCTAGCTGCAAGAGTGATATGTATAGTTTACTCAAGCAGCAAATTGCAAAGGTCCTGGTACTTCCTGTTTATTAATTTTTCGAGAACAATTTTTGTTTTATATTGTGTGTATTAGTTATTTTTATTGTATATGTACATTTATCATTAAGATTTAATATTAATATTTTTGCGAACAATGTCCAGTATTCATAGTCAGTTCTCATATTTAAAATCGTCATAAGTAGTCTTTTATTATAAAATGTTATAAATAAACCTCAGAGCCTTAGCAGAGTATTAGCATTGAGACATGACTTTAACACGATCCTGAAATAAGAACGGACTATGAATATCGGCCAATGTATTATGATATATAGATTGGAAATGTTTTTGTATATAAATTTTTCTTTTTCGTGGATAAATTCTATTATCTTTTGATAATTCTCGCACGAAGCTCAGATAGAATCGATGAAACTTGATCGTGGATTGACACAGTATTGTATCGAAATAAAGAGACTGCAGATTAAATTATTTAGTATATTAACTTGTATATAAGTAAAATATGCTTGTTATTTTTAATTTTTGTATAACAAACAACTAAATGAGAAAAGAAGTATGTGCGCGAAGAAAAGAAATTTCAATTCCCATTTAGTCCATATTGCAATGATAATAATCTTTTGCTAACGATTTTACTGTAATAATCGAGGATTGACGTTATATATTGTACTTCATGTAACATTTGCAATACTAGTAAGATTTCAATTATTCAAAGGCCAAAAGAAACCTAGAGCAGTATACATATTGCGCTATATATTAAGTAATTCTATATATATATATATATATAATATATATATATATATATATCTATTTCTATTTATAAATACGTTTTTCGTATTTTGTAATATACGAAGTTCTCAAATAAGATACAGATATCAAGTATTGCATTCAAATAGTTCCCTATCGTCTATAAATAGAGTTATTAATAAAAAGATAACATAGATATAAGATTATATGTTATATATCAAAGACGATTTATTCATAACTAATTTGTTCGGTATGATAATTTCCTTTTATGCACATGGATAATTTTATTTTGTTTTGCGTAATTCTTTAGATAGAATCATGATGTATCAATGCCATTCTCTGATTCGTAATAATTTTTATAATTGCAAAAAATGCAATGGTACAAGATTTATTAATGCTACACATATCAACATAATTTGTTACTTATCTGTGCACTAACTATGTAGATAATAATGCTGTACTTCCGATTCATCTTACAGAACGTATTATTTCAGTATTCTGATACAGACGCATATACACATATTCTTATATTATAGTTTAGAGTTTAGATACTTTACGTAAAATCGAGCCATCGATTACTATATAAAACGGATGCCAATATTATATAATAAATCGGCATCGCCTTTTTTTATTATAAAATAAGTATTAATTATACTAAGAAGTTACTTTTAAGAATAAAACATTGTAACTGATATGCTGCCAAATATAAGGTGATGCATTTCTCATAATAATGACCTGTTTATTATTTAGCATGTATGTTGACTTATGTTCACTCAAAATAATGTATGTACACGAATAGCTCTTATTATGATGTGGGGATTAAAAAATAACAAAAACTAATTTTTATCTACGTTTTAATACATATATCTCTCGCTTTACACGTACACGTGTTAAATGCTACAGAAAAAAAAAGAAGTATAGGCACAAAAAAACCACAAATGCAAAAAATTTACTGGAAGTGATGAAATACATTATAAGTTAAAATAGTATATATATAAAAGTAATATCACCTATCTTGAATTAATACATATTAATTATTTTACAATCCAATTTGCGTTGCATTGCACAAGATATGATGCGGTAAATAATAATGAAGAATGACAATTACCATTCTTCTAGAAACGTGACTTAAACATAAAACTTATATTTTTATGTCATTTTGCTTTTGTACTTTTTTTTCCTTTTGATTAACATAATGCTAAAAAGATAGTTATTTTCAATAAACACTCAAGTGGTCGAATTTTCTTACAACAGACTCGAGTTACAACGTTCGCATTGGTTACTGCAGATACGTATAATCAGTTATCACGATGTTGTAATGACTATCTGTTTATTGTAGTACTGCTTCATATTGTACTGTACGAGAAGATTACAGCTGCACATCTCTTAAATCTAGAATAACCTAATGTTCTTAATGTTACATATAGAGATACCAATATATGCAAGTGAATTCAAGAAGTGTTGTAGTAATTGCCAAAAATTCGAGAGAAATTTAATAGGCGTAAGAAATCTAAGAAATTATACGGCGTTTATAAGTATTACAAATCTCAGTTCGCAAGTCTATTGTGATGCGATTTCTAGTGTCACGTATAATGTATTATTGAGTTTTGACATCTGAGGTCAAGACGAAGTCAAATTTGTTCAATTTGAACAATGATGGAACAATGATGGATATACATGGTTACACTTATGATATATATATTTTCCACACATAATTGCCTTATTTCATATAATCTGCAAATAAATCGTATTTTTTTTTTTATTTATATATGTTTCTTTTTCTTTGTAAGATCGATTCATTTTAATGGTCTTGGGAAACAAGATTTCAAGACATACGTAGCATAAACTAGATTTTTTAAAAATGATTAAAACTTTAGACGCGCAGATCAATATATAGTCAACGTATTTTTTATTGATATTTAGTATATCAACTATTATGCAGCATAGTATAGTATTGCAAAATGATTTTCTATATTACACAGAATCTATATTAGTTGTAAAGTAATAATTAAAAGATGGATTACGATCTAGTTCTCGGATTAAAGCTGACGTAAAAATGGACGTGAAATCAGTCTCTATTTTACACTCGCATTGATTTGATTTCTTTCTCGAGCGTCACAAAATTAATTATTTTCTCGTGTTACCTTCATTTAATCGCATCATAAAATATTCGATTACTTCCAAAGTCGTGCAGCTGATTTTTTTTTTACTCAATTTTCATTCTGCCGGCAATTAGATTTATAGCTAAGCGCATTATACGTTTAATATCTTTTTCGTAAGACAAACAGTGGTGAGGAAAACAATTCCAAATTAAATATATTGCAAGAGATTAATATACGATGTCTCTTATATCTGAATATTCAGTAAATTTAGTTTTAGTAACGCTGTTTTGATATAATTACAATTTCTACATTCATGTTAAAACCATATTGTGATTAAAGTGCACGTTTGCTATACATAAAGTATATAGAATGCAAACACATAACAATATATAGATATCTCAATGTATAGATCTTATTAAAACTCGTACTTATTCTTAATTTTAAAAAATGGCAGATATCACCGTTAAGTAAGCACGAATGCGTTTTAATCACTAGAATCTTGGATCGCAAAAAGTTTGATTTTAAATTTATACAATTGTTAAAATTTCATCAATTAAATGGAGTTCACGAGACAATGCAATTCAGAAATCATTTTTGTGTTAAAAAAAATAACAAGTTTAAAAGAAATAAAATAAAAAAAAAAACAAACAGGTACTATCAAATATTGTACAAATATATATGATGTGATATCTACTTTTGTAAATAACTTTTATAAATAACTTATATATATAGATATATTATGCTGCATCAAAAGTCAAATCAATCTTCTTGCCATTCAAGCATTTGAAGTACATTCACCATTTACCCTATTTTCATGTTTCATCGTGATTACGTTCTACAATCTACGACCGTCTAAAATTTCGAAATATTAATCCGTGGAAATATATTAATCGGTTTAAAAAATAAGTAAGCAGTGTGTCCTGATTCTCTCAGCGTCACTAAAAACGAGTCGTAAAAAGAGTCCCTCACAGCCTAAGTAAGACTTTCACTTGAGATCTTAAGTTTGTTAAATGATTGCTGAAGCAGGACTCGACAATAGTATTTCTCTAGAGTCATCTTGCACAAATTTTCAAGATGATATATTTTCACAAATAATTTTTTTTATAATTTTGATTTTTCCGATTACATTCTCACGATTATTTTGTTGCCAATTCATCTATCCAAAATATTAGTAAAAAATAACATGATGTCATTGTGAGTCTTCTTATCATACTCTATATGATTCGTGCATAATATCTCGCATTGTGCGAGGTATGTCCTGCTAACGATTCTGTAAACATCTCATCATTCTCTATTATAAGTATTACAAAAAGGAACTCTTAAGAAAAGTTTTTATTGGACAGATAGAATACCAAGCTGTAAAACGTTCTCTCAGGCTGTAAAAAGTTTTATTAGTGTGTGCGCGCGCATGAAAGGTTTTACAGCTTGATGAAGAGTAAATATTGTAAAAGGTAAAATGGTTTACATACATTTCAAGAATGATAAGATCTGATTGAGACACATACATATTTATGTATATTTTATATAGTATATATATATATATATAATAATTTACAGAATAATATATGTATATCTATATTCCTGCTCATATACATATTTCATAAACTTATGAAAGTCCTCTCCTTAAACCATGCAGTGCATTGTGTTTCCTCTATTCAGCTTAACTTGAACAGTATGTTATTTCCGTAGACGTACAATGATTTCAATTTATACAAATTATACAAAGATTGAAAATGCTAAAAACATTTGCCTCTGCGAGAAACGATTCTCGATATAGATGGTATCGAACAAGAGATGCAAATTGCAAATTTGTTTTAACGAGTGATTTGTAAAAGCGATCGTTCTTTAGTATTTTGGCAAAAAAATATACATACATAATTGTCCCACACGATACATGTGAACGTGTTTCTTGTCTATAAAAGTATCGGGATACCGCGTTATCGTTCCATCTAATTGTGTAACTGATGCTTCGGATGGCGCGCATAATTACATGCACAACTCGCGCCCTTTATCTCTCTCTTTATCTTTGTACCTACAGTCACAGTCATTGAACATCTAACACGATGATCCGTTTAATACGACTGTCGGATTGGAAATAGTATATTCTAATCATTACGTGTAGCCCGATTTTATACGTGACTTAAATAGAGAACGGACAAGAGAGAAAAGACACAGAAGATTTCTACGATGGTTCTGTAGTGACTGTGGTTTCTGATGATGTACTTACAGGTGGTACCACAGTCGATTTGCACGCTGGAATAAATTCAGCTGCATCTGGATTTAGCGTGCTCTGGAAATTCACATGTATAAGCGGCAATTGTTAGTTAAAAGGTTTAAATAAAGAATATTGCTCTCTCTCTCTTAAAGCACAATGTGCTCTTTGTTTTCTGTTTCTTGCTTTTTTCCTCTTTGTGGTTGTTTTATTGACAATTGTATTTCTCATCTCTTCCAAAGTTGACCAAGTTTTTATTGGACAATAGAAAACAAAGAAATTGGACAAGAAGTAAAAAATAGTAAAAAGCAAGAAACAGAAGGTAAAAATACAATGTAGAATAGACTTGAAAGAAGAGAAACATTGCTTTAGGTACCTGCTTGGCGAGATCGTCTTGCATTCTCAGACTGCTTAGTTGTTGACAAAGTTCAGCAGCATTATTGTCGGGAGTGCCAGTAGCCGTAGACCAAGCAGTAGAACTCATATTTCTTTGATGTTGCCTCTCTTCTTCCAGCATCGCTTCTAAGCACTCCTCCATCAATTCTTCCTCTTCCAGTTGTTGGAGCACCTGATGCCGACAGAAACGTCGAGTGCGGAATAAAGAATAACTGTGAGAAGCTTTATATTTATAAATATGGTACCTGCTTGTCAAACTCCTCTTCATTTTCCATCCAGAGGTACTCGGAGAAGTCTCCATCGCCTATCGCTTGCACCTCAGCCTCCGTGTCGCTGTTGTTGTCCACATAGGAAGTGATGCCTGTTTCTTGTCCGTAATAAGTCCCATTTCCAGACCCGCCGTTTGGGATCTTCATTTTCATAGCCAGTGTATGTAAACGATGCGTCTGCTGATTACCTGCAAATTCTTGTTATCAGCGTCTCACTTCACTCAACACCGTCGTCAAAGATAACGTCAAGAGACTTAAAGACAATTTTATTGACACACGGACAGCGCCGTGTTTCTATCGACAGCCGCTCAGAAATAAATAAACAGTTGAGATAGTATTGAAATATGATTCTCCAAACGGACACTTCGCTTGTAAACAAGATACTCCCTCGGGTGGTCAATTTTGATTGCGCTCCCACCGGTCCCTTGACGGGCGGAGGGCTCGAGGCGACGTCAGGCGAGAGTGCCGCGCGCAACCTCGAGCCGGGACGCGGAGGAGCAACTTGGGTCAAGAAATCGCGAAATCCTCGGACTCTCGCACATATGGGAACAGCGACAAGCGACCCCCCGATCCGGCTTTTCTAGCGATTCTTTAGTACCCCCCGGAGTGTTTACCTGAAATTTGGCGGCCCGGCGACCCCGAGACAGTTCGGTGTCGCTCTGACTCTCTCTCTCTCTCTCTCTCTCTCGCTCTCTCTCCCTCGCTCCTCTCGCTAATGGCACATAGCGAGAACGCACGGCGCGAGAATCGTCCTAGTCACTTGACAGATGAGGTCGCACGGGCGACCATATTTGCGAGCGCGTATCGTACTCGTATCGTATCGAAATCGGACGGGTTGGCGCGTCTCTCTCGCGCTCTAGCTTTCCTCTCTCTCTCTCTCTCTCTCTCTCTCTCGCTCTCTCGTTCCCCTTATTGTTTATCGAACGACGGTTGGCCCGGATTACCCTCCCGAGGAGTAACAGGGAGACGGTCGCGTTTTCTCCATCGAACTTGATCACGCACGCGGAACGTACCTTCTTCTGTGATAAAAGGGTCCTCGGACTCGCTCTATGTCCTTCGTCCACCTTCCCGTCGATCGTTTGTGCTCGTTGCGCGAAATATGCGCGTGATTTACGCAGTTCACGGACACGTACCGAAATACGTGTCGTTCAACGCAAATTAGCGATCGCACAGTGCTGCCACCGGCGTTGTTGTTAAAATCCACAGTGGGAGCGCTGGTAAAACTCCGATTACTCCGAATTTTCACCAGTGGACCGCCTATCGCGGATGTTCGGGTACTTCGGCTCCCGAGGATTATGTCGTGAGAAATGACGAAATCGCCGAGCTTCGAGGAACGTCTGTCGATAAATCGGAAACGCGAGGCTACTTGCTTCGCGAAAAATAAAAAAATATTCCGCTGGCGTCTTAATTTTATCGATTTTGCGACGTTATAATATGAATTAGTGAAATCAAATTTAATTAAAAAATTATATAAAAAGATTTTATAGGAAGAATTTTACTTTAAATTCTATATAATAAATAAGAGTATATTTAAATTAAATTATTTAAATATAATTATTTATTCTCCAAAATTATTTTTTAATATAATTAGAAATAGGATATGTTAAAAATATGATATTATTACAAATTGCATTAATCATTAATTAGTTGTGTTTATTAATTCGGTGATGTATGTACGTATTTAAGTATTTATTGTACATATAATAACATCTACTATTTACAATGGGATTTTCTATTTATTGCTACTTGCCTATATATAACATTGTCTCTCTCATACACTCGATAGAGTTATTATTACCACTATTTTCGCAATGTAGAGTAATCCAATTGTAATGCTAATTATAGCTATACAACGAACGATGAGAGGAAAATAAATACGGAGTTATCGTGGCGTCTTTATCCCGACAGATGTCGACCCCGACGACGAATCGCGGACGATCGAAGCGATCGCGAATCGTCGCGACGCTCGGAGGAATTCCTCCTTTTTTCCCATTTTTATTTTTACGCGGGAGGGGAATGACGTTAAAACATGATGTTAATTTCTCGAAAGTATGCGCGACGGGCGACGGCTGCGGCGCGCGGGATTGACGCACGTAGTGCCGAGCTGCCGAGTGTGTAGTGTGTCCGCCTGTCCGGCCGGTCTGGATTCCGGCGTCGCATGACGCATCCCTCGCATCACGCACGGCACGGCGCACGGCGCACGCGAATCGTCGCGCGGTCTATTTACACCGCGGCGCGACGTGATTGGCCCGGAGACGGCTGGCTGGCGCAGCTGACACATGCGCGTGCCGACGTGCGTCAAAACAAAGCACGGCAGCGCTGCCGCCGCAGCATTTTGTCGCGATTGTCCGTAGCGACAGGTTGCATTGCATCTGGTTGCGTCGTTGCTCGAGTCGAGTTGTGAGCGTCGTCAGCCGTCAGCGTCCTGTCGCGCACATATACTATACTGTACTGTACGTTTACGTGCGTTTCTGGTGCTCGCTCGCCCCCTTAGCTCCGTTTCTTTCTATTTCCTTATCGCGAGCGACTACACTCCCACGAGTGCCACACACGGCGCATCGTACGGCGATGTCGTCCTCGGCGAAGTACACGTCGGACGAGCAGCTGAGCGGTAAGTAAAGCGCAAAAAGGAAAAATACCATACGCGCCGCACCGATCATCTACACGTCAGACGCGACGGCCATTTCGCGCGATGTGTCCGCCCACCCGCCCGCCTGCCCGCCTGCTTGCCTGCCTGCCTGCCTGCCTGCCTCTCGTCCTCCTTCACTTCCTGTAAAGCGTAAACAAACGTACTTCATCGCCGATGTTGCTCCGTTCGGCTGGAGCGTTAGCGTCGAGAAGGAGCGGCTGTCAGATTCGACCGAGATGTCTCGCTACCGTTCAATGACATCCTTGGAGAACGATTGTCCCTTCGATAAATTTCCGCTTTCGTTCGTCATCTGACGATCTCGGCGCGTCTCCGAAAATCGGAGCAATCCGTTGGTTCACGCCGAAATAAGTTGATGCGACGCGACGCCGCGCGTCGCGGCGCAGTTTTGGCGCCATTTCGGGCCTACTTTCAACGCGCCGCGTCGCGCCCGGTGCAAGATTCAATTTTTCATGTCTCGCGCGCGCGAATCGATACTTCACCCCGGCCGGAGCTTCGCGTGAAGTTGCACGGAGAGCGAGGTGAAGCGGACCAAGCGAAGTACGCTGGATTTGTTAAGTCCGGTCGCACGCTTCTCATGGAAGTAACAATGCCTGCCTCCCAACACCTCCAGTTTTTTCCAATTTTTTTCTAATTTCATTTAATTTTTTGTGTACATTCTACATTCCCGATACGCTATTTTCTTCTAGTTTTTTTTTTAAGAAGCATCCCTCTCGTCTGTTTCTAGAATCTGATTTTTTAAAAATTTTATCATATTTTGTACATTTTACATTTTCGATACGTTCGATATACTCTTTTCTACATTTACATTTACCTTCGGTTATTTTTTGATTATTTGTTTTAAAATAAAGCGTTACGGAACAGAGTCATTATTTTCTTTATAGTATTTTGCGGAATGTTTTGGTCCCAGTTTAAGCAAATAAATGTGCAAATATCTTTTATCGTATGTTCGCTTCTTTTGATATACGTATATAAGCTGGTTATAGATAAAATGTTTGTGATTAGCAATGCGATTTAACTGCGCTATATTTATTCGGAAATAAAAATAGCACGGACATTCGCGAGAATGTTCAATAATAACTATTATAACCGCAGATCAAAGACTTAATTATTTTATGCGCGTAAATAATGCATTATTTCCGTCTTTTCTTCCGCATTTTATGAATAAGGTAAGATAAGAGCTGAACGTTTCAATATATGTGTCAAAGAAGTCGTGGATTATCAATGATTGCTTTATCAAGAATCTAAGAACAATGGCTTATGCGAGAAAAAAATACTAAATTTTAATAAATATTTATTTGAATAGTAAACTAAACATTTACTTACAGTAAATAAATATTTACTCCAGAAAAAAATAATTGTTAAATCAAATTAATAGTTCTTGCAAGGGAAGAACGATTTTGTATTGTAAGTATTAAAAAATTTAGTTATAGTTACAAATCTGAAAATATACGTAGGAATTTCAAACATGATGAGTAAAAAGTTTTAACATTCTAGCAATTAGTTTGAGGATCCTACATAATTTTTTCGATTTAACAAAGTTATATTTAAATTTGTATCTAGCTAAATATTGTTAGATACTTTAGCAAAATGGCCTTTCTGTGTCCAAATAAATATATTTTTATATTTAATAAACATTTAATTTGTACTTGATTGAATTAAAAGAAAAAGGAACTTGATAATAAACTCGCAAAATTAATTCCATATATAGTTAAAATTGCGCGCTTTGCGCGAAAAAATTTCCGTAGACACCTACCGATATTTTTTACAATTTTTTACAGTCTCTCGTAATATGGCTTTATATATAATTTCCTCAGGAAACTTTAGACTGCGAGGAAGCCGATATTTCTGTGGTTATCCTTTTACAGTAAAAGAGAGGTAGATGTTCTATTAAATAATTTATAAAGCCTCCCCGATAATAATCTAAAAAATATGCGAGACTTTGTAAATATATAACTTTATCATTTTTGTAATGATTTCTACAAAAATAATTTACTCAATACGTTTTCTCTTCATATAATCTTAGTTCTGTTCCTCTGATCAAATTTCAAGCCGTAATTGCTGAGATCATTATGCCGAGATTACCGAGATAATAAAATCTTTACATTTCTTAATTAAATTTTATCTGCGCTTTTGTTTATAAAATGTTTTAATTGTAAGTCGAATTATGTAGAGTGCTCATTTTACCGATTAATTTTAAATCGTTTCGTTACCCACTTTGCCACGCGAATCTTACATACGAAAGCCACTTGAATCGGGCACGCGTATATACTTTTACTACTGCAATCTTTATCTCTGTTTGTTTTGCAAAGTGTCATCTGGTCGATAGCCTCGACGAAAAAAGACATAGGCACCTGCTTTCATCTTGTCATCGCATCGCAATCCTATCTGTTTCTTCTCCGCCGCCACGCGTCTTCTCTCGCTCGTGTTGAATTACGAGTCGCATCTTTTTTAACATTAACAATAGCCGGTGTCGTTCTCGGCGAGATGAATCGCGAGGTAAAATAATGTTTTGCAAAAAGTATCCGAGACGCTATAAAGACTGCAACGCTAAATTTATCCGCGGCTCGGATTACGGCCTCCAGTTTCCCTCGTCGTATTACGAGAAATTAGATACCGTCTCTGTAATTTCTGGATTTCTTTATTAACGCTGTAAAGTAATTTTCATCTATTTTTTTACTTCTATGTAAACTTCTATTCTGCTTTTTGCACATGAGTTTACACTGGAAACATACTAAATTTTAATAAATATTTGTTTGAATCGTTTTAAGTAAATATTTATTAAATACAAACATATATTTATTTGATACAAAAATCAGGTCATTTGGTGTTTAACTATCATTAAAAAAAAAAAATATTTTATTTATTTGCTGTAAGTAAATGTTTAGTTAGTACTATTCAAAGAAATATGCATTAAAATTTAGTAAATTTTTTTTCTGCGTGTTCAATTGCAATGCTGTTTTCGCGTAAACGTCTAATGGCATCTCCACTGCGTGATTTATTCGCGTATATATATTCCGACTCGCGGAAATCGTCCATAAATCGTGTATAGCTCGCACGACCTATTAACACGGCAAAGTATTTAACCCCAGAGGCAGCCGAGTAAATCTCGGACCAAAGTGAATAGCGAGTTATTTCAAAGCGAATTTAACAAAAAGTTTTAATTGCTCTTCGGAGAGCAGAAATGGAAGTCGAAGAGAATGAAAATGTAAAACAGTATATAAAGTTAACATTTTTTGCTTCTTTTTTCCATGGAATTATTGCAAGCATTTTTGATATTCTAAAAATAATCATCGTCTCTTTTGCCTTCTTCGATTGCTGGGTCATCGTCGCGAATAGAATTGGGTCAGTGTCCTGCGAACTCGCGCGTGGCCCGAGTGTTCTATTTAAATTGGACGAGCCCTAGTAACGAGTACACCGCTCGGTCAAGATCAGGGCCGTATCTGTCACAATGAATGTCGTCGTCACGTCTTTCTCGTCATTAATTGAAATCGTATAACAAGATAATGTGTTGTGCGCAGCAGAACTAATAACATCGACAATCTCGAACGCTAGAACGTTCAATGCCACGCTTGATCGAAAAATAATGTTACAATACTTGTTATCGGTATCTAAACTATCGAAGCGATATCAATTTAGATCATTTTAGATATTGATAATAAGTAATGTTACTTTGCGATCAAGAATGGCATTGAATGTTCTAGCGTTAAATTATCGATATTATTTCTGCGTTATATTTAAGTTATGTTTAACCATATCTATTGGTTGCCATTGCTCCAATTCAATACGTCGTTAATTTAACTGAAACAATGAAAAGTTGAACCATTTAACTAAGAAAAATGTAAGTTTTACTCTCAAGTTTAGTTTATTATTTACTAAATGCATACATTCATATGATGATGTTGTTTACTTTGAAACTACAACTATACAAATTAATGGATTGATTTACATTTTGACATACACGGGAATTATAAATAACGAAATATTATTGAATTTAAGAGATTGAGTTATTATTGAAATCTCTTGTTGTGTAATTGCTACAGCTCATACAATGAAAAATAATCGGGGAATTTCTGAATGATTTTTTAGAAAACGAAAAAATCTTGAAAGTTACTCTTCTTTTTCGTCTGTACTCTTTGATTTGCAAAGTGTGATAAATAAAAAAGGTCCGGTTTTTCATTATCTGATTAACTTGTGGTTTAAACTGAACTTGATGATAATGTAAAAATTGTGTTTTTCTAGCTATGGTTCATTAAACTAATAGTATTGTAATTTTAAAATTACAAAACACACATACCATCAGTTTAGTGATGGATTAACCATATCTAGAAAAACACAATTTTTACATTATCATCAAGTTAAGTCTAAATGACGAGTTAATCAGAAAACCGGGCCGTTTAAGTGAGTTTGCGCGTACGAGGAAAATTAATTTCTCGAATCGAGAAATTAATACTATACCTCCGAGATAACTACTGCAAGAGAGAAACTGCGTTTCGGAGGGCGTGAGTCGTCTTCGCGAGTTCGTTCCCATTCGCGGTAACGTGATATATACGCGATCTTCCGCACGTCGTTCCAACGGATCTACGTGATCGTCCTCAAGAGTCTGGGACTCATTAGAGCGGCGCTGACCCGAAATCATGAGAACGTACTCAGGAGCCTACGTGACTCGGCTCACGCGAATACTCGGATACATTCTCTCGAACAGCTCGTCAAACCACTGACCTGGCAGGATATACGGGTCAACCACTAGCTAACGGGGGTACCGAATTTCCATTGAATCGTTTGAGCAATTTTCGACAACAAAGTTTCGATAAATACGCGAATGAATTTCAATATTAAGTACATGCGCCAATATATAATATATGATTCACTCGCCAATATCGATACACATCGATCGGTGATTAAATTACGTTATTGTAGAAATAGATATTTTTAGATATAGATATTGATTAAAGTAAATAATC